AATGTAAAAATTTTAAATATAAAGATCTATCTGTTTTAAAATATAAAAAAATCCATCTGATCAAATTCTGTCTATGTTTACTTTTAAACTTTTTAATTTAAATGAAAATTATTAATGCATTTTATTTATTTTATTTGATTATCATGTACAGTTTAATAGTTCGAATGCAGTAGCAATTTGGTCAGTGATAGGAATTACCACGAATTTCCCACATTTATAAACATTTTTACATAATAGCATGCATATTATTGAAATTCAACAAGAATATTTCAATCTTAACCTTATTGAAATTGGAATATATAAATTAATACTTTGCATTTCTTAAGATATTTGCCATTTCTCGTAAAATTTGATGATAAGAGTTTGATCAGGAACAGGTTATATCATATTATTGATCTAACATTTTGATGTATCATATGGTTATTTCATAAACATTACAAACAAAATTAATATTAACAGTGTCTTACTTTAATTGATTTTTACTTATGACAAGAAGTTTACCTTTCATTTGAACAAATTTTTTATTTAATTTTATTTTAATTTGTGTTATTTTTCTCTTCTAAAAATCGTATAACTGTGAGGAATTTGTTACTTATTAAATCAAAATATGACTGGATCATTTTAGGTTAATGATTTTGATGGGCTGCGAGCGCTAATAAGTTTTCTTGAAATTTTTGCATTTCTTTTTATTTCTCAATAAATTTCTCCATTCAAAATTTTTTTTTCGATCTATACAATTTTGAAATATTTTTCTTCGCTTATTGTTCTCGAATCAATAATTTCAACAATTAATAATAATGACAATAATCAATAATACTAATATTAATATTAATAATAATAATAATAATAACAAAAATAAACAATAATAATAATATGGACAATAATAATAAATAATAGAAAGAAACAGGTCTTGATTTAATTATTTAAATGGTTCAATTCCAGATATTAAACATGGAGGGACATTATGGTTTATCGCCATCGACAGGACGAGAAGTTAATGAGGATGATTGTTCAAGTTGCAACAATTCAAACTCGAATATAGGACGGTATTCTACCATCAAAAAAAAGGTGAATTTTTGGAGAGAGAAATGAATAAAAAAATGTTAACATACCGATTAAAATTATTTGAGTCATATAAATTAAAAAAAATAAGATGCTTGAAATTGTGATTAAAATATTCAAATGAAAATATAATTTTAATTAACGTTTGTAAAAAAGCATTCTTTTATCCCTTTTTTAATGTTCAGAAACTCTATTACTGCTATATTCAATAAGGAAAAAATAAACGATAAATTCTGCATATTCCAATGAATCATTTAAAAAATAATTTTCTATATAGCAAAAATAAAACTGCTAATGCAATTTATTTATTATTAACCACAACCTAAAATTTTCTAAAATAAATAAAAATGAGATGAATTTATAGCTCAAAATTATTTAAGCGAAGGTTATTCTAATCTTTCACGCTTCTTTTTATCCAACGAAAATGAATTTAAAATATCAATAATGAAAATATTTTAAATTCATTTTCGTTCTTTACAATGCTAATTATACGATGTCAGCAATCCAATAAGAAAAATGAGTAGTAAAATTGAAAGTTTGATCTACTCCAAAAGTTGACAAAAACATCAATATTTTATTATAATTTCTGAGATCTCAAAAACATTTATTTCAAAATTTCATTTCCATTCTTATTTAGTAAAAGATGGAAGCATTTTTTGTTTTTATTCTTTCAAAAAATCCATTAGATACTTATATGTTTATCATATCAATAATTTATTTTAAGAAAAAATCATAAAATTGAAAACTTAGAATTTATTTTTAACAAAAAATAACAGTATTTTTAAAAATTTGTTTCCTCTGATTTTTGATTCATTAATTTTTTGGTTTTTTTTTTTTGTTTATTTTTCATCGTTGTTCTTTTCTTTTACAGAAATTTTATGGAATACTTGCATTGTGTGTGATGAACATTACACTATGCTCTTCACTTCTGATCATTTACAATAATAATCAATCACTACTGATCGTTGCTTTGATAAATTTAGCTTTTACAATTTTGGCTGGTATTGCTTTTGCTGTTCATATCCCACAACTTGTTATCGTTTGTGTTATTTATAAAGTTAGTCTCTCCATTTATCATTCATTTATCACAAATAATTTGATAAAACACAGAAGCAAAAATCTATGTTATGATTTTCGTCTTGTAAAAATTTTTTTCTCATTTTTTTGAACCATCAAAATTATTAATAGACATTTTTCGAACAATTTTTTTATTTCATTGGACTTGAAAAAAAAAAAACTAAAATATGGAAAGACTCAACATTTTTAAAGATGATTTAAAAACACAAAAAGTAAATTGGAAAAAGTTGGAAAAAATTGGAAAAAGTCAAATTTGATTTATTTGTTATGAAAGTTTAATTTTTTGATTTTATTGCTTTTTTCTTCTTAAATACATAAATTTGGTATCGTAAAAAAATTTTAATAGCAATTGATTACAGCAAAAGAGATAAACAATGTTAGGAAAAAAATAAGGAGCAAAAATAAAATATCAATCTGATTTTTTCTACAGGTTTTGTGTGCAACATATTTATCATTTCTGATATGCAAATTGATCGATGCTTTGGTCATGGAACAGTGCCATATTACACCAGAAAACATATGGCTTATTATAGCACTTATATGCACAACGATCGAAATTAGGTGAATTATTTTATTAAAAAAAATCAAATAATTAAAATAGAAAATTTATAGATTTTTTCAGTTTTGATTAATAGGACTACTTAGCAATTATTCTTATTCAACTAACAGATGAATTAATCAAAAGTTTCTACCATATATATGTCTATTTGTAAACTATCTTTGTAAAAAACTACACCGAATAATCTAAGTAATAGGTTTTTTTTTTTTAATCCTTTCCTCATTTAAAAAATTAAATGCCATTTTTTGATATGTAAAAATGCTTGCTTTCACGTCATTTCAATCCATCAAAGAAAAAAAAAGAAACCATTCTCTGAAAAATTATCTCACTTATCCAATTCATCAGATATTTTCTATTAATTTTAAAATTAATTTAGCTATTACGATTATATTACCTCATTTTCGAAATTAGTGAAAGAGATATGATCAAAGAATAAATGACATGATACGAAGCATTCATTTGTTTCAGCTTATTCAGGTTATTGATGAATTTTAAAGTAGAAGCGGAGGACGACGAACGAATGCAATCACCACCGAAATATTCCACTTGTGCTTTAACATCATCTCCAACCGATTCACAATTACCAACTTATATTGAAGCGCTCAAAATAATTGAGGAACAAAATGATAGTTAGTATTCTTTAGCTGTATGCTTTTGTTTATTGTTTTTAAAATTTAAATAGTAAAATTCATCACTTATAGCCAATTAATTTTCTTAAATTATATAACTTAAAGTTTACGTGTGCAATCTATGCTAGTTTTTGGGGCATTTAGCGGGTAATTTAAGTGTAATATCTTGATTGAAAAAACTAGAAAATGCTATAGTTTTGGCCTGTAAGGTAGAAAATCATAAGGCTGTATGAAGAAAGTAATTAAATTCAAATAATATATTATTGCATAAGAATAGCCCTTTGTAATTTTCTGATAATGAAATCAATAACTTCTTTTATTTCCACAAAAAGAAAATTATTGGAAAATTTTTTTGGATTTTATTATGAATGTAAAAGCGAGATAGTGACAAAAAAGTGTATCCAACATAGTACGAAATTTTTTTTTTTAAAAAAAAGTAAACTTTAAATAAAAAGATTATCGGGATCCAACTTGAACATCAAGAATGAGATCAGGAATATGCTAAAGTGGAATATTTGATTGATATCAAATTTAGATTTGACCGAAAAGGAAGGGATTTTTTTTTTTTTTTTTGAGGAATTATAATATGAAAATATACACGAATGAAGGGTAACTTGAAGGAGTTCAAAGAATTTTTTCTTGAGAATTTTTCCTTAAATGTTAAATTTCAGTAATGCGGAAACGAAATTTGGAAATACAAACTTTGCCACCAATTTATACTCTACAAACTACTGGAACGACAAGGTCAATGTTTAAAGATAATTTATCTATTTAAAGTTTTTTTCAGTTAATTGAATGTATCATATGTCTAAAATGTAAATACTGTAAAGGGATTATTTCAAATATGTATGTGTTTTATCATTTTTGATTTTTTTTAAATATATTATTTCAATAGTAGTGGCGATTTACCCAATGTTTTAATTATAAAACGATGAACATCCTTTAATTTTGCGATTGCTGTATCCTTAATACGGGTGTTAACATTAATATTTAATGTCATGTGTTGTCTATTATTAATTTCAGTTAATGTTAGAACCAATGGATACAACTAATGGCAGATAATTTTGACAATTTCATATCGTTCGTAATGAACAATATTCTTAACTTTTTTATTATAATAATCAATATTTATACATTTCAAGTTAAATTTAACAACGATTTTAGATCACTTGAATTAGTTACAATAACAACGTGGTACTTGACAACCAAATGTATCTCATCATTTTTATTTGATATCCAAAATAACCTATTTTTGTTTAGCTTCCCACCAGTAAATATTTATTTCAATGTTTTCTGGAGTGTTTTGCCTTATGCTGTTGATGTTCCGACACTGTAGCCTTCTTCAACGTACCACCAGTTTTCATCAAAATAGCATTCATATCCAGTGCTTCTCCTTAACAGAACTTCCTTTGAACTAAGAATGCCAGTTTAAACTCGCTTTTTTTCTAATTTACAATTGAATTTCATCAATAATATTTGAAAAAAGAACGAGAATTGAACCTGGTGGAATGCATTCACCGCTTGGCGTCGTACACACTAAATTGACCTCTTTTCGAAGTACACGGTCAATATCAACTTGACTGAAGAATGCAACTGACTGAAAATTAATAAAAAAGTAATGAAATGAATGAAATATAAGTGAAAAATAAAATCCATTTTTCCACAAGACAGTAATTAACACAGTTTAATCTAAGGAATTAAAAAAACAAAACGGTCAAACAGGTGATATCAAAAACTTTTGACAATTGATATTTGCTATTTGCGACATGAACTATGTAATCTTTAGAAGGAATATTACTATTGAATGATCAAAGATCAAAGAACAGATGTCTAAAAGGTTA